TTCCTTTCAAAGTTTGTGTTCTACTGCTCTCTCTCTACTCTTTCTCCTCTTTCCTCCTCACTTTCTCTTCTTTTCGAACCTGAAATCTCCTAGTGTTCAAGACTGATGGCAGTCTTGAACAACTACAGCAGTAACATAAAGAGAACTAGAAAAAAAAAAGAAATAACAGGCCCATTAGCAACAAATAAATAAAAACAAACTACAAGAATAGATACTGGGGCCCATTTGGCCTAGTCTCTTTACAGTATTAGGGAGCTACTCTTCCTGTGTGAGAGGCACTCATTTTATTTTATCCTCTTGATGTATTTGTTGTTGGATGTCACCTTAAGTTTTTTCCTGATTACCCCTATTCTTGTATCTGTAATGTTTCTTCTCCACTGATAAAGAAAATAAAATGACAATGTCGGACCTGATTCGAGTTCCTGTTGCTGCCTTTGTATGGGTTGTGGTTGCCCTGGTGAATTCTTTTCCATTGTAGTTCATATATGCTTATGCATTACAACATTGAGACCCTGGTTTTTCCGAGCTTTTTTGCATAAGCAGCATAGCTCACCTGCTTCTGATTGAACTGGTGTTTTGGGTGAAAATCTATTTGGGATGGAACATATTAGATGATTGAGTTGTCTATGATTGTTACAGGGACACTTTTATTGGACATTGTATGTTCCTGCAAGTTATTTTTTAACGTTTCTTTTTTCTTCTTTTGTTTTCCCCTGCAGGTTGTCTGAGGCACATTAACTACAATGTTAAGGGTGGATGCTTTTATTTGCTTGGTTCAGAAGAAATCCTTTATAAAGCTTTATACCTGCTTGTCAAGCCCCCATGAAGTGGATAATAGGCATATGCTTCTGAGTACTTGGAAACGCAAGCAAAATGGGTTCAAGATTCTCGTGGCTTGTTCTGCTGGTCCTCATCCAACTGCCAATTCTTATCTCTCCACAGGGGTACTTCCTTCTCCAAGGCTTGCATTGATTATTGGAATATTAATTGCTAATACACCATGTTTCCTTAACTATTAACCTATAAGCATCATAATTGTGAGCTGGCTGTTATCCCACAGATTATAAATGTTCTGTAACTTATGCTGTCCATCAAGGCTGTTTTAGCTGAAGATGAGCCTTCTAAAGAAACATAGGGGCAAATTGCATGTAAAATAGATCCATTAATTGGGATTGGGATTTGGGAAATTGTTTTGTCAGAATGAATCTGTATTATTACTTTTCATTCAAGCAGCTTCTGTTTGATTGAAAAATCTACACAATGCATGAGGAAGGTGCCAAGTGTGCACAATCTTAAAATATGGCATAAATTTCCTTGTTATGGTATCCTCAAAAAAATAAATTTGAATGTTTTGTATAAGTGCCAGGTAGAGCAAACTAAACCAAGCCTGATGACTAAATTTTTTATTTTTAATTAATAGTTTGGTGACTGAAATTTGCCTATGAAACTCTATAACATGTTGCTTTATTTTGTTCTAAAATTTGCAATGTTATTAGCCATTAAACTTAGTTACTTTCATGAAAAAGGGGAATGTTTTGGTGGTGGATTTTTTTGTGGTATTTATTGCTCATCTTTGTGTGTGTGTTTTTTTTTTTTTTTTTTTTTTTTTTTTTTTGCAGACAAATACTGAGAAAGAAAGCAGTGCTATTGATTGTGGCCTTGAAGAATTTAGTTGGCCCTCTCCAAATGATGAAATCCCATTTTGGAAGAAGGATTTTCCTTTATGGGATGTTAGCCAAGAAGTTTTTGATGACACAGAGAAAGATCCTGATCTTATGCACATAATTCATGCCACAGCTGAAATGGCACCAATAGCAAAAGTTGGTGGGCTTGGAGATGTTGTAACTGGTCTTGCCCGGGCCTGTTTATTGCGTGGACATAAAGTGGATATAATGCTTCCTTTCTATGAGTGCATTCAGAAGCAGCAAATTAATGGATTGGAGTTAATGACAACATATAATTCCTATCACGATGGACAATGGGTCCCTACTAATGCATATCGTGGGGTAGTTTCGGGTATCCCATTGATATTAATTGAACCATCCAACCATTTCTTCAAGGGTCCTGCTGTATATGGAGGTTGTTACAATGAACTGGAGGCATATCTGTTCTTTAGCCGTGCTTGCCTTGAGTGGATGCAGGTTAAGTTGATTACATCTATCTTCTCTTGACCTCTTTAATTATTACCATAATTTCTCCACAATGTTCAAATACAAGGGAACTTGATTCTGGTTGGAGGTAAGCTGAGAAGTTGTTGACTTAGTCATATGCATGTGCATATCTATAATTCCTAGTTACATAAATATAGAATTTTCAGCTTTCAATAGAAGATTTCAAATCAGAAAATTAATTTAGACAAGAGCTGTATGACAATGGTCAATATAGAGGAGGGAGAGAGGGAGGCTTAAATGAGTTTATTGGGTGTCTTAAAGCACCTTGGTAATTGAGATACTTGGGTCTCCCTTTTAGCAGAAACCCTAAGGCTAGTAGTTTTTGGAACCCAGTGGACAGTGGTAGGTAGGGTAATGGATAACAAAGAAACATGGGAAAGGAACTACACATGATTAGGAGGTAGAATCACATTGATCAAATCAATTTTAGATAAGTTTCTCATCTTTTCATGCCTGTCTTTAGGATTCTAGGGGTGGCTGCTAAGAGGTTAGAGAAGCTAATGAAGGATTTCTTGTGGGAACCTGGGGAGATAAAATGAGATAATCTTGTTTGTTGAGATGTGGCATGTAAGGACTATGAGATAGGGTGGTTTAGGTTTTGGAAATCTGGTGCATAGGAATTTATCCTTTCTTGCTAAATGGCTGGGATGCTAGAGTGGCTAACAGAGTTAATTATGCTTCTCCTTGGAATGCTGTTTCTTCCCTTTCTCCTTTTTAGCATATTCGGTATTTGATGTTACTATGGGTAATATGGTTTTCTTCTAGGAGGACTTATGGTGGGGCGAAAGACCCTTGAAAAACCAGTTTCCATTTGTTTATGCCCTCTCTTTACAAAAATTTAAGCCATTTCTTTGTTAGCTTCCTCCTCCTCTACCTTCAGGTTTATTTGTAAAGGCACAAAAGAAAGAGAAAAAAGGAATCTGGTTGGAAACTTGGATGGACTGTACTTGACTGTGTTTATTTTGATTATTATCTCTTTGTATTTTTTAATGGGTAATAAGAAAGCAATTTATTATTATATATCTGAAAGAATGATTTATAACCAATACAATTTAGAGCATTTTGATAGGCTAGTATACACTACCTACCTCCTTTTACTGATACATTAGGTTCTTCCCCAACCTGCCCCCAAAATAACTCAATTTGTTTCCCCTGTGTAGCCAATAGACCTGTTCATGGGTTGGGTAGCCCGACAGCTCGACCTGCTCCCGGCCCGGTCTTGGACATGCTCTTAGGTCCATGGACCTGAAGTCGGGCCCAAAACACTAAGCCCACTTTTTTTTTTTCATGCCGGCCTTGGGATTTATCATAAAATCCCAGCCCGACATTATTTTATATAATAAAAAATATATAAATATTTATATATATTAAATAATATATTTTATATATATTTAAATATTTTTATTATTAACCCAAAACCCTAACCCAACTTTTCCCTCTTTTGGCCTTTTCTCTCTATTTCGAATCGCTTTTCACACTTTCTTTCTTCAACCTTCAAACTTCCTATTCTTCTCACTCGGTCACACACTTGTTACCCTTCCACCGCCTCCACCCAAACAGTCCAAGTCCACCACACCATTTGTTAAGGGCCCGCAAATAGGATCTTGTCACAGGTCGGTCAATGGGGAAAACCTCTTGTTTTCCCTTGTTCCTCCTTTTTCTTGAGGAACCTATCTTGGTGCCTTAATGGTGATTTGTTAAAGAGATCACCAACTCTCCTCTGCTCTTTCTTGACTGAAAATTTCGATAATTTCATTGAATATCATCTGCTCCTTTAAATAGGAGATTACAAGAAGATAAGAGTCCTACTTTAGGAAGACTTCCTAATAACCTTTATCTATACTACTGCCTAATTAATAGGAACACTGAATTTAGCTAAGATAGAAACAGATAAGATAAGAACACTGAATCTAGCTAACAGATAAGATAAGAACACTGAATCTTGCTAACAGATAAGATAGGATAGGGACACTGTATCTAGCTAACGGATAGGATAGGAACACTGAAAGTTGCGCCCATTACTGCTTCTGTTTGCAGCTGTATTTCTTCCCAATAAAAGCATCCACAACACCATTGGTCTTAAACAAAACTTCAAAAATCTTTTAGACCTAATCAAAACTTCAGAAAATTTGGGAACAATTTAGAAAAAGGTTGCAATTTGGGAACAATAGGTTGGGCTTCAAGCTCGGGCTCGGGCTTCGGGATTTTATGAGGGCCGGGCTTGGGCCCCAATTACAGGTCCGATGGTCGTGCTGGGCTCGGGCTTTATCAAATTCTGTTAATAACTAGTGAAAGCCCGACCCGGCTCGACCCATGAACAGGTCTAGTAGCCAATGCATTGGATAGACTCTTACCACTTCTTGGTGTCCAATTAAATGTGACATTCAGCTCATCTTCCAATAATCTGGCTTCCCTTATCATATTATCTATATTTCCACTTTATTGTTGTTAAAATATAGTGTCTTTGTAGGGTACTTTGTGTTGAGAGACTAGGCCGAATGGGCCCTAGTGTCTATTTTATGTTTAAGTAGTAGGTTATTTATCTTGTATGTTAATGGGCCTGTTAACTTCTTTTTATAAGTTATTTTAAGTTCATGCTTACCCACTTTAGGGCAGATTTGTAATTAACCTAATTAGTGAAGATTAATGAAAAGATTAGTGAGGGGAGAGAGGATTTTATCAAACCCTCTTCTTCTTCTCCATCCCCTTCTATTCTGCTGTTTTCTTCTTCCTTTCTCATTCTTTTCTTACTTTAATCAAGTTTTATATCAGATTTAGAAGTCAGATTTACTTCTTGGTATCAGAGCAGGTTTTCCCCTTCTCTTTTCTTTTTTCGTTTTTCCCATACACCCTTCGATTACGAGAGTGTACGGAAAGATAAGTTCCTGATAGATCAGAGAATATTTTGCCAAGTTGGTACAGGTCAAGGAGAAGATTTGGATGTGGCGCTCAGGACTTGGGAGATGTATTTTGATCCCTAGACTTGTAGGTGGTTTGGAAGCTCTAGTAGGAGCGACTACTTATTCTTTCTTCCTCCCCGACAGCTGGGTGTAGTGAAACCCTAGTTTTCAAGTCTCCAAGTATTGTATTGACCTCAATTAAGTTTATATAGATTGAAAAACTGTTTTTTTTTTTTTTTCTCGTTTGATCAATGGAGAAATCTAGAAGTGTATCGAAGTAGATGCTGGTATCCGGGGTTGGCTTGGTAGATTCCCTTTTGATTGGAGTGACCACAATCAAACTAGATGGCACCAATTATCTAGCCTGGGCACAGTCGGATTCATGTCTGCAGTAGAGGTAAACTAGGATATCTCATAGGCAGTAAGGTGAAACCCGTAAAGACAGACCTGGCATATGAGAAATGGATGTAGGAGAACTACACAGTAATCGGATGGTTGGTTAATTCTATGCAGCCCCATATATCAGCATTATCTCTGGATATCTTCGGCAAAGGAAATTTGGGACAGTGTTATGGAAACATATTCACAGAAGTTGAATGTGGCAAAAGTCTATAAGCTGAAGAGTGATGTGAAAAATCTGAGACAGGGGGAGAAGAGTGTAGCGATCTACTACATGCTGAAATCACTATGGCAAGAAATTAATGTTATGGAGACAGTTGTTTGGGAGAGTACTAATGATGCAGAGACTTTTAGGAAATTGATGGTGTTAGAGTTAGCCAAAGGAGGGGTAGATTAGTCTTTYCCAGCCACTTTAAGTTATGTGCTTATGTGGCAGTTCTAATTGAAGGGATGAGAGATCCATCATATGGATGGCCAAACCCTGCAGGAAGGTTGGGCGAAATTTCAAAAATTTCTCTCTCTCCCATGTGGGAATCGCATTCCCTATTTTAGAAAACTGCATTTTCAAGGATCAATCTTGAACCCAAACCGAACCAGATTTGAAACCAAAAGGTAGGAGAGGGGTATACCTGATACGGAGTAGTAGTAACCCCCAATGAAGGTGTTCACGCCCAAGGAGAACACCAAAGACTGCTCCCACTGAAGATGACACAGCGTAAGGTGGAGCAGAATCATCAGGGTGGTTCTTCAGCAAGAACCGAATTCGATGGAGGGCGAGTGAGCACGACTTCAGATCACCTTTTCTGCCAAAAGGTGATATCAAGAACCCTTTCTTGATCGCTCCTATAGGTGGAGATCAAACTGGTAATGGCGGCAATAGCAGGAGAAGGCAAGAGCAAAAGATGGCGTCAGTCCTACTGTATGCTGTCTTCTCTCTTGAATCAGTAAGACTGAAGGATGATCTGGGGTTCTCCCTTCTCCTATATTTATAGCCTTAAAGAGAGGTTCTCCTAATCCCATTAGGAGTTTCCTAATCCAAATCTTGTATTTGGATCTGGACTCTCATTAAGAGATAAGGATAATCCCTTATCTTATCTGCAGATAAAGATCGGCCCTCCTAATCTAATTAGGAGTTTCCAGATCTAAATCTCTATTTGGATTTGGGCTCTCTGAGTGGATAGGGACAAACATGGTATCAGAGCAAGACGTTTCTCTCTAAATCTCCTCCCTTGCTCCTCTTTGGTCGTAACCTCTTCTTCTTTCTGGGCTGAAAATGGAGAACACAGATTCGACCTAGGTCTGAGAACACTTCAGTCCTTCCTCTGCTCAGAACTTGACTGTTTTTCAAGAAAAAACAACTCCAGAAGTAAGTGGATGGTCGATTGAAACTCTCCATTAGAGGTTGGTTACCTTTTTTCTTGTGTTGGTATTTTTGGGTTGAAAGCCTTCAAAGTCTGCTTGGACTGATCAGAACCTTGAGAACTAGGTTGTTTGTAGCCTTGGTTCTTGGGAAAAAGGTCCAAGAGCAGGCTGTGTTTATAGTGGCCAAATGGTGTAAGGTTATGTTTGACCCTTTTTGTGTGGGTCTGTAGTTTGTTTTGAAGCCTTTGTTGGTGACAAGTGACCTGAATTGAATGACAGGTTACTGCAGTGGTAGTGTTGATGTTTTTT